AATAAGAAGAAAACCACAGTACTTACCGTCGTTGCAATGGTTCAGATCTGCGAGCTTTCTCATAATAATATTAATCCTCGAATTCCTTTGATTCATATTAATATACTTCTATTATGACGAGGAAACTGTTTTCTGATTATTATACAGCCAACTTTAAGATAATATTAATTGTCTTAATACAATCACACTTACGCACGATAATTACTTTTATTATCTTGAAATCTTTTGAAAACGAATTATGATACTCATGCAACGAAGTTTTAAGAGACAGTAATCAAGTAAACAAACATTGGCACGTACGAGTATTTACTCGAGATGGTGTATAGTGTCATCACTCACTAACATTTGAATCACTATGTTCACTAAGGTAATGTTAGTCGCTGCACTTAAAAGCTTTTGAACGAGAATAAAATGATATTGGCGTTTATAATTTTATCGTTGATTTCTTGCACGAGAATATAAGTGTAAAAGCTATTGCTATTTATTGTTTAATGAAACAATTATATCAATAGTGTCTGGTAATCTTATTCGCGTTAATGTGCTCCTCAGAAAATTGGACGAATAATATTGTAATATTTTATAACTTTGTGAATAACGATAGAAAAATTACGAAAAAAATTGAATGGATGTATTGGGCTCTGTAGACTCCAAATATGACATAACACTAAAACTATTGTAATGTCAGTTGTCATTTTATTCTCCGGGGCCGGCGATATATTATACTAGCTGAACCGCGCTTGAAACATTCTTCATTGGTGCTCCGCTCCTATTGGTCTTAGCGTATATTAGCTCATTTATCGAGGGAGGCTATATAGCCTATAGCCTTCCTCGATAAATGAGCTATCTAACACTAAAAGAATTTTTCAAATCGGACCAGTAGTTCCTGTGATTAGCGCGTTAGGCCTAAGGCCTAAGGGTTAGGCCTATGTCCAGCAGTGGACTAGTTTAGGCTGTTGATGATGATGATGATGATGACTCTTGCTCCCTACATAACTGCAAAGTGAGAGTCAAAACGGCGGGTCTACCATAACAAATCTAATCTCAAATAGTACAGAAAAAATGTACATAAATTGTACCTATACTTGAAATATAAAGATATTCCGTCATTCTGACGTCAGAATACAAAAAAAATGTAATTATTACAAAAGTCTATTAAAACGTCCCTGATCGTTCCCGGTGGAAAGTTACCCGTCACACTTGCTGCATTGCCGCGTTGAATGCCAATGGCCACCAGAGGCTTAAGTGCGAATTTATTTCATATCAACTTGCTCTCGATAGCGAGCGCGTTTGGCGTTGTGATTGGTGCAGATTTCAGTGCGGGCCAATCACAGCGCGGAACGCGGTCACCGTGACGTTCGGGTAACAGTGATATGAACTCGCACTTGGCCAGGAGAGTACCGCAGCGGGAGTTACTATTCACTTCTGCGAGTCTTGCGTTATATTAAAACATTTATTTAAATCTAGAAAAGGCCTCTATAGCTAACGTTCATCTCTTTTATAGAATAGGAGGGAAACGAGCAGAGGGGTCAGCTGGTGGTAACAAGGGGAAGGGGGGGGGGGGGGTCTTCTGTAAGAGTAATAATTTGAATATTAGATTACCCTGAGATATTTAGTAGATTATCTGTTATGTTACGATAGATGTTTCGGACTTTCGGTATGAAGCTACAAGTGCGTAGCGGCTTCGACTTATAGAGAGCCTACCTGTCCTTAACACTGGGATAAGGTGAAAATGAATCGCAGTCAGGAAGACAGGACTCTAGGTCACCATCATTAGTATCAAGTGTTATCAGCCTGTCAGCATCTGAACGTATTCGTCTCAAACTTCAGAGGAAAATAGTCTATCTAAGTTGTAAGAAACTGGTTTTTATGGATGTACTCAGTGGGGCGCCTGCTCCACCCTCTACCCTTTTTTCTTTTTTCCGTGCGGATATCCCCTCGGATACCATCACCTCATCCTCGGATACGGACCACATGTCGGACTCGAACCGACTAAAACCGCACGCCATCTCGGGTACTAATAGCCGGGGAACCAGGTATACCCCAGAAAGGAAGTCCCTGGTGCCCCGACATACCTCGGGCCATCTACAACAACAGGTAGACGACCCCCCCCCCCGTGTGGGAACCCCATGTTCCCTCTGCTCCCTGGAAGCGAGCGCGCTTCGCAACGCGCTCGCCGCCACCCCGGCCTGCTTCTGCTAGGGTGACAGATGGCCTCACCTATCACCTCCAGGCCTGCGCTTATGGAGGACGGAGGTCGTTCTGCGACCTCCGGCGCTTGCGGTACTTGGCCCGTTCCCGGGTCTGGCGGGCCGGGAGAGTCCTAAACTTCTTCCGGTCCCGCTCCCGCAGAAGGCCCACCCTCTACCCTGACTTATACCCGTTTTTTTTCACGTGGCAAGTTTTTAAACATTTCGTTTGTTGCTACACAACAACTATATTTTTAGCAACATATGATTTTGAAGACAACAATATTATTTGGAAATATTTGGTAACGCAACCTTTTAGTGCCCCCCCTCCGTTTGGTAATTTATTTACTATACACGCTGAATAAGGCAGTACTGCTTGTGGTGCATAGGGCTTAATAACAGCTGTTTCCGGATCCACCCTAGTTCAGGCGCAGACGGTGGGTTTTATCTTTACCTTATCAGCGTGGTTTGCCTTTACGTCGAACACGGAAACCAGGCTGTTGCACGTCTAGTGCAAACGCCTGGTCACCATGTTCTTACCCACCCGACATGTGCTGGGTTAGCCCCCTTAACGAGGTTTTGCCTACGTTTCCAAGGGTGTGTGAAAACAGCTCCTTGGAGAAACTGGCGAGATTGATGGGCCGTCTATTGACTGATGAAGTGCCATTCTGACAAGTAGGGTCAGCTGGCAAACTCCTAGATGTACAATAGTCGCGCCACTAGTGGAAACACCACATACCTACTCCTAGTTTCTACATATCCCTCCGATTTTCTACCCAGTCACAAAAAAAGGACAGATGTACATTTACTGCAACTGGACAACCCATATGCATTCCGTTTTCTACATAAAATGGGGGAAGTTCAATAATAAAACACAATTAAAAATAAAATAATTATCGTCTTATTAATTCTTAGTTTTACGCAGTATGTTACCCTGAGTACAAACTTTTAATCGATTCTTAACACGTTAACAGTGCAGGTATAAATCGGATATGACGGCTCACTTTTTAACATGTTTTGAGGAAATTTGATAAGATAGGTATATGTAATGATGTACAAAATACGAAAAAGAAAAATAAACAGCCCAACCACATATGGTGCACATTGAGATGCCGTGACCCATATATGTACCACTCACGTAACTATTCGTCACGTCACGTAAATATTCACTTACTGTGTGTTACTAAATAGTTCCCAGATAAAATTGTGATTAAATTAGAACAAAACAAAACTCAAACAAGAAAATGAGAAAAAAAACATGTGGGTAAAATTATAATTGTTTCTTTAATTTGCCCATTTATAATTTTTTTAAACTATTTTCTATTAAAATTTTGTTTTCATTTCCAACCTCAATTGTCTGGCAACACTGACGAAAATTCGGTGGGTTTTGGGCATTTTATTGACCATATGTGTATGTCAAAATTAAAAAAAACATTTAATTTAGATCTCGTATACTCGTGGTCTATTTATGGTGCCCTATTCATAGTGACCCACATGTGGTACATGCACTGTAAACGTGATATTTACAACAACTTTTATTTTATAACAAAAAAATAATAATTAAAAAATTCTTTTCTAGTTTTACATAATTATTTTTACATTTTCTACACTCACAATACTTGTAAATAAAAGCATTTTTTACAAATGTAAAATAATAAGTAAATATGTGTATACGTATATGTAAACAAATATATATTTTTTATAACGAACGAACTATAAAGAATGCGAAATTTGCAAACTGGAATCTCGAGAATATACAGTTTAAAAATAAATACAAATATTTAGACGTCAAATTGCAACTTTTGTGAGATTTCGGTACTAGCCGGCTTTGCTAATTCTGAAACAAAACAGAAATTTAATTTATTTTTGTCATTCTTCCAAAAATAATAATAATTATTCAGAAATTGATGTTGGTGTTGTGCCTATTGGTCTAGTGGTTAGCGATTCTGACTGTTAGAGCGTGGGTTTGATTCCCACCTAGAATAAATATTAAGTAATGAACACGACCATTCACATCTGGAAAAATTTATCTATGTACTTTATGTACTCACACGGCTGGCAATCTACCGTTCATCAATATCGAGAGGTTTTATAAATACACAATCAAAAACTCTAAGCAACATGTACGGTTTTGAACTTTTGAGCGATTTTTACTATTGTAATATATTTCTTTTATAAATAACGACTCGGTCATCACGCTCAAAAAGTGTAACTTGAATTAATTTCAAAGAAAAAAAACAAAGAAAAAAAAATACTGCATAAATAAAATAAATAAATAATTATAATTGCATAAGTTGATAAAAACTGCTACGCAATAGCTTTACCGCAGCAGTCCCCGAGTGCCACACGTCTTATTTTTTATACTAAGTGTTGTTGATCCATGATATAAAAATGACTCAGTACTAATTTTTTTTTAAATAACTATATATCTCAAAATGATAAAAGTGAGATAAATATCAAATTGATCAAGTAACGAAAACACATGAAATTGGGCAAAAATAATACGTAGCTTGTGTGTATTAAGTGTGTTGCGGCGCAGCCCGGCCACAGTCGATTTTGTATCAATTAAATGTTCTTGTTCTTTCTGCACCAACCAATAGTTGCTTAGACTTTTTTAGTGTGTGTATAATATTTTATGACGGAGTAAAGGAGCAGACTCGGCAGTGTTGGGGTGTCCCGGGGGGGGACAGAGGGGGGCGGTTACTTGTTGGCGAGCACGGCGCTAACGGCGGCCACGACGTCGGGCACCTGCGGCAGCGCGGCCTCCTCGAGCTTGGCAGTGTTGTAGTGGGCCGGGGGGGACAGAGGGGGCGGTTACTTGTTGGCGAGCACGGCGCTAACGGCGGCCACGACGTCGGGCACCTGCGGCAGCGCGGCCTCCTCGAGCTTGGCAGTGTTGTAGTGGGCCGGGGGGGACAGAGGGGGGCGGTTACTTGTTGGCGAGCACGGCGCTAACGGCGGCCACGACGTCGGGCACCTGCGGCAGCGCGGCCTCCTCGAGCTTGGCAGTGTTGTAGTGGGCCGGGGGGGACAGAGGGGGGCGGTTACTTGTTGGCGAGCACGGCGCTAACGGCGGCCACGACGTCGGGCACCTGCGGCAGCGCGGCCTCCTCGAGCTTGGCAGTGTTGTAGTGGGCCGGGGGGGACAGAGGGGGGCGGTTACTTGTTGGCGAGCACGGCGCTAACGGCGGCCACGACGTCGGGCACCTGCGGCCAGCGCGGCCTCCTCGAGCTTGGCAGTGTTGTAGTGGGCCGGGGGGGACAGAGGGGGGCGGTTACTTGTTGGCGAGCACGGCGCTAACGGCGGCCACGACGTCGGGCACCTGCGGCAGCGCGGCCTCCTCGAGCTTGGCAGTGTTGTAGTGGGCCGGGGGGGACAGAGGGGGGCGGTTACTTGTTGGCGAGCACGGCGCTAACGGCGGCCACGACGTCGGGCACCTGCGGCAGCGCGGCCTCCTCGAGCTTGGCAGTGTTGTAGTGGGCCGGGGGGGACAGAGGGGGGCGGTTACTTGTTGGCGAGCACGGCGCTAACGGCGGCCACGACGTCGGGCACCTGCGGCAGCGCGGCCTCCTCGAGCTTGGCAGTGTTGTAGTGGGCCGGGGGGGACAGAGGGGGGCGGTTACTTGTTGGCGAGCACGGCGCTAACGGCGGCCACGACGTCGGGCACCTGCGGCAGCGCGGCCTCCTCGAGCTTGGCAGTGTTGTAGTGGGCCGGGGGGGACAGAGGGGGGCGGTTACTTGTTGGCGAGCACGGCGCTAACGGCGGCCACGACGTCGGGCACCTGCGGCAGCGCGGCCTCCTCGAGCTTGGCAGTGTTGTAGTGGGCCGGGGGGGACAGAGGGGGGCGGTTACTTGTTGGCGAGCACGGCGCTAACGGCGGCCACGACGTCGGGCACCTGCGGCAGCGCGGCCTCCTCGAGCTTGGCAGTGTTGTAGTGGGCCGGGGGGGACAGAGGGGGGCGGTTACTTGTTGGCGAGCACGGCGCTAACGGCGGCCACGACGTCGGGCACCTGCGGCAGCGCGGCCTCCTCGAGCTTGGCAGTGTTGTAGTGGGCCGGGGGGGACAGAGGGGGGCGGTTACTTGTTGGCGAGCACGGCGCTAACGGCGGCCACGACGTCGGGCACCTGCGGCAGCGCGGCCTCCTCGAGCTTGGCAGTGTTGTAGTGGGCCGGGGGGGACAGAGGGGGGCGGTTACTTGTTGGCGAGCACGGCGCTAACGGCGGCCACGACGTCGGGCACCTGCGGCAGCGCGGCCTCCTCGAGCTTGGCAGTGTTGTAGTGGGCCGGGGGGGACAGAGGGGGGCGGTTACTTGTTGGCGAGCACGGCGCTAACGGCGGCCACGACGTCGGGCACCTGCGGCAGCGCGGCCTCCTCGAGCTTGGCAGTGTTGTAGTGGGCCGGGGGGGACAGAGGGGGGCGGTTACTTGTTGGCGAGCACGGCGCTAACGGCGGCCACGACGTCGGGCACCTGCGGCAGCGCGGCCTCCTCGAGCTTGGCAGTGTTGTAGTGGGCCGGGGGGGACAGAGGGGGGCGGTTACTTGTTGGCGAGCACGGCGCTAACGGCGGCCACGACGTCGGGCACCTGCGGCAGCGCGGCCTCCTCGAGCTTGGCAGTGTTGTAGTGGGCCGGGGGGGACAGAGGGGGGCGGTTACTTGTTGGCGAGCACGGCGCTAACGGCGGCCACGACGTCGGGCACCTGCGGCAGCGCGGCCTCCTCGAGCTTGGCAGTGTTGTAGTGGGCCGGGGGGGACAGAGGGGGGCGGTTACTTGTTGGCGAGCACGGCGCTAACGGCGGCCACGACGTCGGGCACCTGCGGCAGCGCGGCCTCCTCGAGCTTGGCAGTGTTGTAGTGGGCCGGGGGGGACAGAGGGGGGCGGTTACTTGTTGGCGAGCACGGCGCTAACGGCGGCCACGACGTCGGGCACCTGCGGCAGCGCGGCCTCCTCGAGCTTGGCAGTGTTGTAGTGGGCCGGGGGGGACAGAGGGGGGCGGTTACTTGTTGGCGAGCACGGCGCTAACGGCGGCCACGACGTCGGGCACCTGCGGCAGCGCGGCCTCCTCGAGCTTGGCAGTGTTGTAGTGGGCCGGGGGGGACAGAGGGGGGCGGTTACTTGTTGGCGAGCACGGCGCTAACGGCGGCCACGACGTCGGGCACCTGCGGCAGCGCGGCCTCCTCGAGCTTGGCAGTGTTGTAGTGGGCCGGGGGGGACAGAGGGGGGCGGTTACTTGTTGGCGAGCACGGCGCTAACGGCGGCCACGACGTCGGGCACCTGCGGCAGCGCGGCCTCCTCGAGCTTGGCAGTGTTGTAGTGGGCCGGGGGGGACAGAGGGGGGCGGTTACTTGTTGGCGAGCACGGCGCTAACGGCGGCCACGACGTCGGGCACCTGCGGCAGCGCGGCCTCCTCGAGCTTGGCAGTGTTGTAGTGGGCCGGGGGGGGACAGAGGGGGGCGGTTACTTGTTGGCGAGCACGGCGCTAACGGCGGCCACGACGTCGGGCACCTGCGGCAGCGCGGCCTCCTCGAGCTTGGCAGTGTTGTAGTGGGCCGGGGGGGACAGAGGGGGGCGGTTACTTGTTGGCGAGCACGGCGCTAACGGCGGCCACGACGTCGGGCACCTGCGGCAGCGCGGCCTCCTCGAGCTTGGCAGTGTTGGAGTGGGCCGGGGGGGACAGAGGGGGGCGGTTACTTGTTGGCGAGCACGGCGCTAACGGCGGCCACGACGTCGGGCACCTGCGGCAGCGCGGCCTCCTCGAGCTTGGCAGTGTTGTAGTGGGCCGGGGGGGACAGAGGGGGGCGGTTACTTGTTGGCGAGCACGGCGCTAACGGCGGCCACGACGTCGGGCACCTGCGGCAGCGCGGCCTCCTCGAGCTTGGCAGTGTTGTAGTGGGCCGGGGGGGACAGAGGGGGGCGGTTACTTGTTGGCGAGCACGGCGCTAACGGCGGCCACGACGTCGGGCACCTGCGGCAGCGCGGCCTCCTCGAGCTTGGTGGCGTACGGCATCGGCACGTCCGCGCCCGTCACGCGCCACGCCGGCGCGTCCAGCTCGAAGAACGACGGGGACTCCATCACGCGCGCGCAGATCTCCGCCCCCACGCCTGAGACAAGGAAACACGTCATATCGCTAATTGAATTAACGGACTTTTGTTTCCGTTTTGCTTCTGCGGCTAAAACTCATATTACGAGGGCGGGTCAATAAGTCCGTGACTTTTTGAATTTCTGACCTCTTTACTGAAAAAGCAACACTACTCCTGTCAACAGGCATCTGTCAGTTGACTCCTGTCAAAATTTGAACTTGCTACGTCAGTTAGTTTGTGTTTGACAGCTATCTTTATCAGACTACCCAGTAATTTGAGGAAAAAATGGAAAAAAGTGAATTTCGTGTGCTTATTAAGCATTAGCAATATGGAGGAGTTCATCCGCTCATCCGCCCTATTCTCCAGATTTTGCTCCGAGTGACTACTTCTTGTTCCCAAACCTGAAGAAATGGCTTGGTGGAAAAAGATTTGGCTCCAATGATGAAGTCATCTCGCAAACAAAGGCCTATTTTGAGGACCTCGACAAATCATATTTTTTGGAAGGTATAAAAAAATTGGAGAAGCGTTGGACAAAGTGTATGGAGCTCAAGGGAGACTACGTTGAAAAATAAAATGATTTATTTATCAAAAAATCTGTGTTTTATTCCAAAAGTCACGGACTTATTGACCCGCCCTCGTAGTATTTATATTCTAAACCAGGGTACCCTATGTACTGTAAAGATGAAACAAAAACAAACGTTCTTTTATAGAATGTGGGAGGAGAAGTCATACAAATGTAACGAAGTACAAACATAACGTAACGAACGTAACGAAGTATCAGCTGATGGTAAATACCTACCAGCATTAAGGGGAAAAGAGGAAAGACTTAAACTACCGGTGACATCTCTCACTCGTCGAAAGGAACGGAAATATTCTAAACACAGATTTTCTTTTAGTTAATAAATAAATTCCATAAGACTGTAGTATTACCTCGGTCGAGCCCGACCCATATGCACAGGAACATGCCTCTACCCCTTCTTACCCCCATCATCATCACATCATAACTTAATACAATCATTATGATTTTCACACATGATTTTTGTTAGTTCATCTAGCTTTCGCAGAAGATTTTACTTATATTAAAACAGGACACAAAACCACCCACACTTGGGACGTCTATTTGTGAATCATACATAGTTTTTGAACCAAATTTTCGACACGTCTGAATTATGCGTGTGGTAATGGATTAAGAATACGGAGTGTAACTACCCTTAATCATTCCGTGGGTGGTGTAAGAGCCGACTAAGGGACCACACTACGCAGGACAACAGAAGAGAAGGAAAACTTGATACCACCGTGGTATAGTAGGCCAACCCCTCTTTTCTTAAGAAAAGCTTATATCCAGCAGTGGACTATTAAAAGCTATTGATGTGTGTAATGTAATCTCTTCTCACTTTCAGATCATCCTTCGTACTTAAAAGAGGGGTTATTTTTTAAACATTTAAAATGTACAAGAGTTTGACTCACCGCTTTGTGGCCAGCCTTGTTCCACAGTCACGAGGTGATGGGTTTTGCTTATAGATTGTGCTATCGTTTCAAAATCCATCGGCCTGATGGTCCTCAGATTTATAACTTCGCACTCGATACCTGTAAAAATAAGAGAATAGTAATAACCTGTAACCTGCAATAGAGAATGGTACTTAAAGTACCATTCTCTCATACAAATATCAACTTTATCAATCAATTTTGAAGTTTTCAAAACTTCGGTGTTAAAATTCACGTAGTTTTGATGCGTTACTCCATGTGATTCACTAATGAATAGAATTAAGTTGTCTCTAAATGTATATTAAATAAATAATCATAATTCCCTTTAATACGATCTGAATATTATTATATCTTAAAAATTAAAAATCTTTCATAAGTAATCATTTTATACACAACAACAACTCCCGTCTAGAAAGAAATCCTGTGTCGGGGGATTTTACAAACATACATGAAACTGACACAAAGGACACCCAGACTCGGAACAACAATTTGTAGATCACACAGGGTGTTGTTCCATGTGGGGATCGAACCCACAACACCAAGCACCAAGGAGACCGCTTAAACCACTACGCCATACGTGCAGTCAATAGTTGTTTTTGTTTTTTGATGACATTAGGCAATAGTTGATTTGACAAATGCTTTTGATCTCTTCTATTGTTGGTGAATCATTTGGGTTAGATGAGGCTATCAGCTCAAAAGTATTTTTGATTGATTTTGCTGGTTACAAATAGTTTTGACTGGTTAAAATTTGTAAAATATACAAAAATAAAAAATTGAGAGTAGGCAGAGTCTGTGCTATGGTAACCAGACTGCTGATAAACATACTTATATATTTCATAATATAGATAATTAGATTCAGATATAGAACAAGCGATACACAATATTTGTCTCGGATGGGAACCTGGAACCACGACCTCAGCGGTCAGTAACCACAACAGGACCGACGAAATTCTCTAATGAAGAAAATTGATATTGTATGAATTGACAACCCTATTTACTATCAATAAATATAGATAAATAAATACATCTATAATAAATCTATCAATAAATAAATAAGAAATATATAAGTATATTTCTCAGCAGTCTGGTTACCATAGCGCAGACTGTCTGCTTTCAATTCATTATTTAAACACAAATTTGAGAAGTTGATCAGTGAGAAGATACGTGTGTATGTGGTGAGACAGTGGTCGAGTGGTACCTTTCCCGGCGAGCTCCTTGGCGGCGCCGAGCGCGGCCTCGGTGCCGCGGCCGGCGCACGCCAGCGTCACGTGCGACCCGCTCCGCTCGATCTTCGCCTTACCTGGGGAGGGCCAACATACCCGTTACACTCGCACCGCATTTACATCAATTATTTCAATAAAACAACTAAAAATAGCAGCAACAACGTTTTTTTTACAGCAAATGAAAAGGTTCACAGTGCGTTGACACTATCAAAGTTAGCGGAGGACGAGTTGGGCATTCTTTATCATCGCTCCTCAGTCTTGCATTTAGGGGCGGGGGGAGGGCAAACCGGGACATCTTTCTCTCAAGACGCGCGATTAATTCAACTTTTTTTTTATCTGTACGGAAATCCCCTCGAATACCACCCACCGGTGGTTATGTCGGACTCGAACCGACCAAAAACCGCACGACGTCTCGGTTACCAGTTGCCAGGGAACCAGGTGCACCCTAGGAATGGCCATCTACGGCGTGTAAATGACCCCCTCCTGTGTGGGAACCTCTATGTCCCCTTTGTGCTCCGGAAAGGACGCCAGCACCCCGGCCTCCTTCTACTAGGGTGACAGATGGGTCAGATATCACCCAACGGCACGCTTCAGTATTTCATACAAAACTAACCGTACTCTGCCACGCTTAAAATTTTTATTTGCATTTACATTTATTAATTGCATTAATCTATATTAATATTATAAAGAGGTTAATTTTGTGAATTTGTATATTAGGGGTAATCTCTGATCCGATTTAGAAATTTCTTTCACTGTTAGAAAGGTATATAATCTCTGAGTACAGCTATAAAGAAAGAAAGAAACATTTATTTGCACAGAATACAGGTGGTACCAGATTTTACAAAGGTGTATAATGTTCAAGCTATATTCTGCCTGTACTAGGCATACAAATATTTATATAGAGACTCAAAACATTAACTAATGATAACTATTAACTAATAAAATTAACAAAATACATTACTTTTAATCGCGATAACTGACATACACGCGAGTAGAGCCGCGTGTAAAAGCTAGTCAGAAATAAGAAACAAAACTGACGTGAACAATACATAAAAACAATCTTTGGAGCGGTTTGCATATCGTGTCAAAATTTAAGCTCAATCGGTGCAGAACTGGAGTTATTGTAGCGTGCACAAATCGACGTTTTTATATTTTACTAGCTGACCCGGCAAACGTTGTATTGCAAAACAAAAAAAAAATTAGGGATGGGTCACCCTTACCATTTAGGGGTATGAAAAATAGATGTTGGCCGATTCTCAGACCTACCCGATGTGCACACAAAATTTCATGAGAATCTGTCAAGCCGTTTCGGAGGAGTACGGGAACGAACATTGTGACACGAGAATTTTATATATAAGATATAGGTAATACATTTATAATTAAAATGTCAAGGAAAATTTTTTTTCTACGTATACATACCAATAGGTAATAAAAAGTCCTTGTCGAGTACTTCGTCGCCCACGGGGAATGCAACACCATAGAGAATTTCATTTTCAAGCACTACTACCGGGTCGGGGTCCCTAATGGCAGCTTTAAGAAGTCCTGCAAGAAAACAAACGATGGCCATGAGTAATAATCCTTACTTATATACTTATACTACCACTACCCCAATTCATCCCATGGGTGTCGTAAGAGCCGACTGAGGGCGCAAAACAACGCAGGACAACAGCACTGCAAAAAGAAGGAAAACTTGACACAAACCCTATACCAACCCGTCTGGCCAGCGTGGTATATAGTAGGCCAAAACCTCCTTTCTAAGGAGAGGCCTATGACCAGCAGTGGACTATTAAAGGCTGTTGATGTGATGATGATGGTGATATACTTATACATGATTAGCGAGTAACCGTCAGGGGTCAGTCCGAGAGGGGTCAGACGAGCAGACGGATCACCTGATGGAAAGTGACTATCACCGCCCAGGAACGTCTGCAACTCAGGAGTCACAAACGCGTTGCAAGCCTTTTAGGAAGGAGTACGCTATTTTCTTGAAGGTCGTATCGGTCCGGAAATACCGCAGACGATAACCCGTTTCACAGATTGGTTGTGCGGGGCAAAAAGTGTCTCGAAAAGCGCACAGTAGTGGAACGCCAACTATCCAGGTGATGAGGATGAACATTTAGCCGTGAGGAACGATGGCGGTAAGTTGCGGCTGGTTGAGTCCGAACAATTCCTCGGAGCAGTCTCCATGATATATGTATTCACAATGGATGGGCAGGCCAATGGGCCATAGCAGAATCTAGCTAGAAAATCATTCAGACAACCGCGTATGAATGTGTCAAGTTTTTCATTAAAACATAATGGTGCTAATTTTGTTGAAAACTCTCTAAACCAAACTAAAAATCACTAAAAAACAATTGTCCTGTCAAATATTACGTTTCCAGAATAGGAAACGTTGTTTGACAGAACTAAACAAATTTTTAGTGATTTTTAGTTTAGTTTAGTGAGTTTTCGAACAACAGAATTAGCACCATTGTCTCAAACACTATATCTAAATTGGTACTAGCTACCATATGATCATAGACTCTAAACTTAATAATACTAACCTCGAGCATCTTCTGATGAATATGGCATAACCACTTTGAGGCCAGGACAGTGACTGTACCAGGCGGCGAAACACTGCGAGTGTTGTGCTGCGGTTCCGGCAGCCGCACCGTTAGTGCCTCGAAACACTATGGGACAGCTTACCGTGCCAGCTGACATGTAGTAAGTCTTGGCTGCTGAATTGATTATCTGCAATGACAAACTATTTTGTTACGGGTTGGCATATCATACCACACCATCACAAAAACTATCTCTTTAAACAATTCTTTTGTTGCTTTACCAGGGGGAGAGAAACGGCAATCAAAGATCGGCAAAAAAAAAACTCAAACAAGAGGGTACAGAACTCTCGCTAGGGAGTGAAGCTATGGAGGAATGGTATAATAATCAGCAAAGGAACTTCTATCGCGCGACGCAGATAGTTACTACTGTAGTTCGGTTGGTCTTTAATAGATGGCGTTGGAGTATAATAATTTCATAGTTCCCTCGGTATTCACTAGATGGCGCTACAGCGTGAATTCGTAAAACAATAATAAGTTAATAAAACGGAATGAGATATTGGTGCTCACTTGATCAATAGCCTGCATAGAGAAGTTCCAGGTCATGAATTCACAGATGGGTCGAAGGCCTGCCATGGCTGCACCAATTGCCATGCCAGTGAATCCTGATTCAGTGATTGGAGTGTCGATGACTCGTTTATCTCCATACTTCTTCAACAGACCTCTGAAATAGGAAAACTTTGTCTAAGACTATGTAGAACCCGACCAGTTAGACCAGACCAGTTTGGTATAGTTCTTTTGTTATAATTTTTATATTTTATTCTTTAATAATTTATTTAATTATTTTTTTTAATAAGTTATTTTAATTTATTTATTTCTTTTAATAATTTATTATAATAAAAACAAATAAATCATTGCCTCAAAAAACGTAATATATTTTCAACTACCGATATTTATACCGATGCCAATGGCCACTCCATGGCATCTCAATAGCGTGTCAGTGGTATGACACTGGCTTGGCGTGAACATAAAGTAGTAGAATTGAGGCCCAGGACATTACACATAAACCTTGGTTAGAAAAAGCGCTGGGCCGTGTCCCTCGACAAGACAAATAAAAAATAATAGTTTAAAAAAACTAAAAAACCATTTATAGAAAACCAAACTAAAAAATAGAAAATAAATTTTAATAAATTTGGAAAAAAAGCTTGGGGTGCATTTTACTACTGACAACAGGCACCCAACGCATTTATTTTCATTATTTTGATTAATTTAGTGTGTGATTAAGTTAGTGTATTGTCATCGGTCCTCGATATATCGACAAAATTATAACGAATTCTGACCGTTCAAAGTCAGTCAAAATCACGCTCAAAGGAGTCGGTTACAAACAAACATACAAGTAAAGCTAATATAAAGCGTGTAAAAATAGGTCTTCCTGCCAAAATAGGCTTCCGTTTTAATATTGGTGCTTTTGACGTAATTATTCTATGTATATTTAAATGATCAATAAAAAAATAACACACCTTACGATTTTATAAAGAAAATGTTTAATTACAATTCTACTGCTCATTCTTAACGTCTGTTTAAAAAATAAATTACATGTCAACAAACCTCTAAACTACTAGCAATCCATTGTGATATGTAACGACAATTTTTTGTTACTATTTTTGCCGTGACGTCAATGTCCCTATACTAAAACTTGCACACACAAACATTTCTGTTTTGGCAAAGCAGAAATAAGGTAACAAGATCTATGCCTATGTGCCCATGGCCATGTTCACGTTGAACGCGCAATAAGAATACACATTTTGTTCAAGTGGTTCGTATGCTATTGATCCGACACATTCAATCATAGGGAAGCGGCGTTTCAGTGCGGCAGAGCATCATTTTAATGAAAACAATTATTCAGATGGCTGAATTAATTCTTTAATTAAAATGATTTGTCGCAATGAAATGAAATGTCTGTGATTTAAATGGTTAAATCACAGACCTTATGCTATTTTTAGTTTGTCACAGACATACATATATCATACTTTCTTGGTTCTAGGATTATTTATTTATTTATTCATACTTCCTGCAAATACATTGCATAAGGCGGACTTAATGCCATAGGCATTTTCTCACAGTCAACCTTGGGGTGATGCAGAGATTTGTGTGTGGCAGGTGTATAATGAAATAAATTATTTAAATTGTAGTCATCTCGTCATCATTGCTAAAGCCTAGTTCGCACTAGGCAAGTAACTAAGTCGAATGACGAGTATTTTAGTAGCTTATATCATATTCTCTACTGCTGAAGAATCGTTTACACAATGTAAGATGTGCCGGCTATTTTCGAGAACATTGACAAATAAATTTGTTTCAAGAATAAAATAATATGTACGAAAATCCATTAGCTATTAGAAAAAATTAATTAAAGTTACAAATTAGCCTAAGAAAATCCTAAATACTATTTTGATTCTAAATTTATTTTACTAACACCACCTTCACGAGACGATTTCATCGTCTAAAACGTCAAGGTTCAGACTTGTGTAGCCGCTAAACCGTGACAAAAACACATGGGCACTTGACTGCGCTTACAAATTTTGAGGAGCTGAGTAAACTCAGTAGTTGTAAGTGTTCTCAACACCCTTGAGCAGTGTCACTCATCTCCAGTAAGGGACTCGTTCGAGAAATTAGAACTAATCTACCCTTCTAAACGTTTGATATTCAATCATGTTTAGTTACTAAATTACTAGACTAGTGCGAATCAGGCGAGCGATAAGCACAATCTTGATCTAGAGTCAAATAAATATCGATAGTATATGCGAAGATTAGATTTAAAATAAATATAGCAATACATATCTCAGTAGCTGTTTTTTGATTGATGTATCACTGTAATAAATCTTGACAGTGAAGTTATCAGTATTCTACTATTGAGTACTCAGGGCAAACATATTTAGCTTATAATGGACTTTAATCTGTTTATGTACTTACCAAGTTGTTAAGTGTGTAAATTGAAAAGAAAAAGCTGGACAAGTGCGGAAGTGGTTCCGTACAAATTTGTAGGTATATATTCTAAATAGTTCAGGAATCGAGACTCGCAGTTTTTTCAGAACTTTCCCAAAATTCAGTTGGTTCTGTTATATGTACTTACCAAGTTGTTAAGTGTGTACATTGAAAAGAAAAAGCTGGACAAGTGCGGCAGTGGTTCCGTACAAATTTGTAGGTATATATTCTAAATAGTTCAGGAATCGAGACTCGCAGTTTTTTCAGAACTTTTCCCAAGATTCAGTTGGTTCAACTCTGCCGTCTCCTTCTGCGAGCAAGTTATGCTTTCGAAGGAGATGGCGGAGCGGGACCGGGAGAGGTTTAGAACTCTCCTGGCCCGTCAGGTTCGGGAACAGGCCAGGTACGGCAGACGACTCGGGCGCCGGAGGTCGTCGCTTTCGGGAGCACAGAGGGAACATGGGGGTTCCATGGGGGTACACCTGGTTCCCCGACTACTGGTATCTGAGACGGCGTGCGGTTTTAGTCGGTTCTAGTCCGACATTGCCACCGGTAAGTGGTATCCGAGGGGATTTCAGCACAGAAAAAAAAAGGGGACTTCGGCCAAGGCGCGTACATTTTAATATTGAAATAACAATATTACTATTTTAATAGCTAAAGCTGTGTCGAAACCGATGTATAATTAGTTCCGTGTCAAAACAGTTATAAAAAAGATAAAGAATTATAAAACGTTTCGTTTTCTGTAGCTTTTAATTTAATAAAATAATGAAAGTTTTTTAACATTTTAGCATTTTATTAACGTTTGAAGGTCATTCTTTAGAGGGTATAAAAATGCATTTGATAACAAAATTTAATGAATATGAAAGAAAAAAAACTAAACTGAACTCGTGTAAGCGAATGATTGACATAAGATGACAGATAGGTAAAAGTGGTTATAGAGTATGAATTACATTTTCCAATTTTGCATACCTAACAATCTATAGATACTAATATTATAAAGCTGAAGAGTTTGTTTGTTTGTTTGAACGCGCTAATCTCAGGAACTACTGGTCCGATTTGAAAAATTCTTTCAGTGTTAGATAGCCCATTTATCGAGGAAGGCTATAAGCTATATATCATCACGCTAAGACCAATAGGAGCGGAGCACCAATGAAGAATGTTTCAAAAACGGAGAAAATTTATTACTATTGAGAGACGCAGACGAAGTTGCGCGGGTCAGCTAGTTACTTTATAAAAAATATTATTTGTAATTAATCTTGTATCTATAACTATCTATTAAAGACGAAACCGATAGACTGATTCACTGACTGATTGATCAACGCACAGCTGAAACCGCTGGGTCTATAGTCATCACATCAACGTCGTGCGCGACCGTCCTGCGGGGTGACAGACGGTGGCGGGGACGAGGTACTCAAGATGTCAGCGGGTAGCGGGTGGTGTAGTAGGGAAGGGAATCGTGTGTAGCCGTGTGCTAGAATGACGCGCTACCTCGCCCCCGCCACTGTCTGTCACCCCGCGGGACGGTGGCGCACGAGATTGCCGGGTTATAGAAGCATAACATTTTGCTCAAATGTTCCTTATGTGACGAAGATGTGCACTAAGATAGGTTTTTTTTAATTCCACTACTAAGGGTGCACAATTTGGGTTGGCAATTTGTATGAAACTTCGTTATTTTTGATTTATTTTTAATTTTTTTTATAATCTTTATTAAAAGTATTAAAAACGTTGTTACAAATTTTTCAAAACAACCCTTCAAGGGGGTGCAACAGATTCTTACGATTACGACGTACTTGTTGGCTAATGGTCATGGCTATGATAAGGAGCTCTTTAGTGCCACGGGACCCACTTCTATATCCATTCTGAGATACTGACCATCATCAAATTGTGATTAATGTGTAAAGTAATTTTGAGTCTCAGAATAGATGTTAGAAGTTTATACATGGTTGGTAAACATCTGATAGGTCTAAAATATCCGTGCCACTACCAGACTTATAGACTAAGTGGGTAATACCAGTGGTTAAAAATTGGGGTAAGAAACCCGAATCCAATGCTGCCTGGAATTGACATGCTAAACACGCATGTGAGCTTCAGAACCACTTAAGCCAAAAGTTGTGCAGTCCGGACCAGGTGATTTCCAATTCGGTAATGAACGGACTGCACAATTTACATCCCCTATCAATAGAAACAGGCTAAATAGGTGTTAAAGACTCACATGAGCATCTAACATCCCGCAACCAATCAGCTATATGAGTGACAATCTGGGACCAGATGTTACGCCAAAATGTGTTCATGACATTTTCATTTGGCAAATGTCCATCACTCACACATGGATCCGGTTCCTCCCATTTCCGGTATACCCACTTCTATTTTCTTTGGAATATTCGATTCTGATTACACCGATTCATTTGTTTTTTATACCGTCTTATCCTATTGACCCATGCATAAATTTTCTGCTTTAGAAAGTCTATGCGCTCTGTGACACATGACATGTACTGTTGGGGGCTAATGGTAGTCCCAAAGCATGACTGTTTCACCAAAGCACATAACTCTCGGCAGCGTATTACCTAATCGAAAGCTAATTAGCTTACCGATGAGTGTCTTGGTCTCAGCATTACGACGTTCAATTATATACTGCCGAGCTGGTACGTAATAGCTGCACAGTATAGAATAGAATGTGTACCACTAAGATCTTCGTTGTTGTCTAAATAATCAGGCAATAACGAATCCAGGGCACCCACCAGCACTAAAATTCGTTCATGAATGGGCAAACGGGACAATCTGGGTCTGTTGTTGCAATTTACATACCGGTATTCCAGGATCGCATCCTCCAAAGCGCTCTTTATCCTATCATTGTATTGGGTATATATAACTTCACTCTCCACTAGTTCAACAACATTACCACTAAGTGATATGAACTGAGGTGTGCTGTTGGCTACCAAATCCACAGTGTGTGACAAAGAAGGGATATTTAGGCTATTCCGTATTTCAGAGTGTATAATAATAATAATAATATCTTTATTCAGTAGGAGAATTATGTCTAATTAACATTCTGCATCTGTACCTGAACTAGGCTTAACATCTGTATCTCAGGCAACAGTGCTCTTCAACAATAACTTTTGCTAAAACACTGAAGTTTTTATTACATTGTTAAAAGAACCAATTAACATTTACTTAATACTATATTTAGTGTGTACGTGAGTTCCTCTCTTCCTATATTTGATGTGAGTAAGTGAGTGAGTTAGTGTGAGAGGGTGGGCTTTGTAATTACTGGTTTATACTGGGTTTTATCATTTTTTCTGTCTCTTCATAATTCATTTTTTTTTAGCTAATTGTTTAGAGTGATTTTACAGCGTTTTTCTCAAGATAGATTTTAGGGTTGAGGGGATATAAATTTAATGTTCTGTTTATCATATTGTCAAGAAACGGCCTGAGAAATTATCCTTTCAAGTACTGCATCATTTAGTAGTTGACAGCGCTGTATAGCTCATACTTTATTATTGTTACTATAATGCTTTTTTAATATATGTTCATTTGATAAAACTAATAGGTACTATTTTAATTTGTTTAGCAAAATAGCTGCCCATCTTATGGCCGCATTCCGTTGGTCTCCTTTGTGATGATAATAATAATAATAATAATTATCCTTTGTGATGATGAACTTTAAGTTTACCTAAATGTTTTAACATACCTACATATTTTATAGAATTTAAAATAATTATCATATGTAGGTGTATTTACATAAAGTATAACTTCCCAGCTCACATGGCAGTTTGATTCCAAACTAGGCAGTCTGTGCTATGGTAATCAGACTACTGATAAACATACTTATATATTTCTAAACACAAACATATTCCACAAATATTTATCCGGGCTGGGAATTGTACTTTCAACCTCAGGGTTAGCAGTCAGGGTCACTAACCACTGCACAAACAGTCAATTGAGTTTGAGAGTCAATATATGGATCGCAGGCTGCAATAAGGCCGCCCATTGTATCACTGTTTTTTTTTCTGTATGTATCATTGCATGTATCCTAATTATGGTGTGCAATAAAGAGTACAGTAAAATTAGTCTCGAGAAATTTTTGCATATGTAGTGGTGTGTATATTACTCAGATCTTAGAGCGCGTTTCCACTATATCGTTCTGGCCTATACAAAAATGTTTCGATATCCTAACATTACTATTTAATTTTATACTTATCCCTAGCAACACTCTGATTTTTGTTTTAAATAAAAACAAGTTTTTATTTTAAAGAAAAAGGTTTTGACTTTATAAAAAAAAAAGGTGTGTGTGCGATTCACACACGATAGAAGTGAAACTTCAAAGAGGCCGTTATTTAAAATTTTTTTTTTTCCTTTCTCTAGGTTTTTAAAACTCCGGGGGTCTACGGGGGGGTCAAAATTTTTGTTATTTTTGGCCTAAGACGCACCGTTTCCGAGATATTTCAATCTAAAGCAAAAAATCGTCACTTGATAGTGGAAAGTGGAAACACGCACAAAACCAGAATAAACCAGTTTACGCTGTCCGCAGGTGCCACTACTACAAACGCAAAAATTTCTCAAAGCTAATTTACCTGTACCTATCCATCTATGTATCTATTATTTACTTTAAACCAGATAACACCTAACACTGTTGTCGTCTACATACCTAAATTCTTGTAAAATATTAATATAACATTTAGAATGACACAGACAACCTAAATTTCCTAAAATTTTATTTTATTTCTAATAAAACTAAAATTACACAGTTTTCTTACCTAGTTCTTGCTCTGTTATACCTATGCATATTATGTATTATGTGATATGCTTAAGCTTAGTGTAAATGTAAGAATTTAAGTAAATAAAGATTTTATTTTTATTATTGGGCACTAAGAATTTACATCTGAGTTTTTATCATCATCAACAGCCTATAACAGTCCACTGCTGGACATAGGCCTCTCCATAGACAGGCGGTTTTGGCCTACTATACCTTGCTAGTCAGACGGGTTGGTATAGGGTTAGTTTCACGTTGGAGTTTTGACAGTATCATTATATATCAGTTTTCTAAACAACCAGATGTTTATTGTCCTATTTTTATTATTTCTTCACTATCATTATTATTATTTTTATATTTTTAGTATTCTTTTTTATAGGAAATAAGTCTTGATCAAATCTTATAGGCAAAAATTGTGTACTTTTTACTTCATTCAATCACAGTTTCCCTTATGTTTACTATTTGGGCATAAAGAACAGATATCGGGGTCCTTGTGCTGATGGATTAAGAATATGGAATGTCACCACCCCTTTTCATCCCATGGGTGTTGTAAGAGCCGACTAAGTGCAAAAAGAAGGAAAACTTGACAAAAAAACCCTAAATCAACCCATCTTTCCAGGGTGGTATAGTAGGCCAAAGCATCCTATTTAAGGAGAGTCCTATGCCCAGCAGTAGACTATTAGAGGCTGTTGATGTTATACTATTCAGATAAAGTGTTATTTTATGAGAGCTATCACACAATTAAGCTCAGATTAGTTACCTCAAGATGGAGTATTGCACTGTAAAACAACTAAAAGAAACAGATTAATATAATTATTTAATTGTTTCGCTTCTATTAAATTGATGCTTGTGTGCATGTTAATTAAGTATTCATAGTAAGAGGTACAACACAACTGATACACTGCAAAAACAGGAAGAAACTTAAAGACCAACAGTTGGACACTTTTTTTCAATCTTCTACAGTCTATCTAGACGTATAAATGACCTTAGCAACAAAGTTACTTAATATTTCCCTACTTTCTGTCAATCTATCTACATTCATCATATTATTTTAAAATATTGTTAGCAATTTTTTTTGGTTATGTAACATTACAAGATAGCTTTTTTTTGAAAATAAATGACAGAGATACTGTTTTTTTTTTAAATTAATATAATAAACATATATTATTTACACAAACGTATGATGTTATCATGGTATACTGTTAAAAGCAAGTAAAGAAGGCTTCATACCTTGTTATTTTATATGCTCCATCATATAAAGCAACTTCTTCACCCAGAATGAAAACCTTGTCGTCTCTGGTCATCTCTTCGTCCATAGCACTATTCAAGGCATCACGTACTGTCATAGGTTTAGCAGCCAACGATGAAGATACTGAGAAACTACGGGCAGATAATCGCGACAGCCAGCTGAATAGCACCGGTTTAGATTTTAACGCCATTTTCAACAAAAAATTAAATTATAACATTAGAAATATTAATAACGATAATTTTTCTAGGCGGCCCGGGATGATTGTTTATTTTTCTATTTTTCGAATTTTTAAAATAGGTTTCGCTTTGGTTCAATCAAAGCTTCGATGAAGGAGAATAGAGGTCGGACGTAACCAGTGCTGCCAACAGTTAAATGAAGTCTCCACTAGAGTTGTGATGCTCATAAGTAAGTATTATAAAAGATATATATCATTCACGCCGATAAAATGTATCACTCACTCACTTATAGCTTATTAGATCACCAATTCACTATCTCAGCTACACCGATCTTTATTTCATGAGCGAATGAGACTAAAGATAGATCATAGTTAAATTCCCGTATATTTTGTTTCTTCATCAAATCAATTCAAATTTTAACATTACTTAATTATTATTTGCGAATTAGGCCTGCCAAGTATGAAGGATACTTAATTTAATATGTATGATTTCTAATATACAACCTAATAAAAGTACAAAAAACAAATATTATACATTTTTCTTATTTTTAATTATTTAAAAACGGTGTTAATAATTATGTAATTTTAACATAAGGAATAAAAAATGTAATTAACAAAAACAAGTTCAAAATAAAGTTCTAAAAACTGAATTTAGGTTAATATGAGAATAAACAAAGGTTTGTATGAGCGAGAGAGGTTTGAAGTAATGGTATAAACATACTGAGCTAAACGATCTAGACGAAGAAATGAATCAATTGAGAGACCAATCAAATGATGTTGGATCATTGAGCTAGTGAGCTAAATGAGTTATATATGCCTTTAGAGTGATATAATATGTATCTATGTTTCCAGCTCAGTGATACATTTTGCGCATCACTACTCTAAACTAGATTCAACATCTAAAATCTAAAACCACCAGAAAACCACTAATGAAAAACGGCCTTACTCTCACGACTATTACTCGCAAAATTTTCCTACAAACATTTTTAGTTGTGTCGAAAGAAAACATTAAGTATATTAATAATGAGGCACCTTTGTTATCAAATAATACTAATACCAACAATAAATCAACAAGTCAAGATCAGGAACATAAAAATATTCAATAACATCAGATACTTATTTTAAATACAAATTAATTCGTCTTCTTTACGTGAATCGTTTTTTCTGCATCATCATCCTCAGTTTCATACTGTTACGATGTACGCTATACACTATTATATGACACTACACATTGAAGCCAACATCATTAATTCTTCTCTTCCTGAGCACTTCTGTCCAATCTCCATCCTTTGTTTAATATTAAATGCTCTTGACGTTTGCTTACACTAACAGACAGTTTTTCTTCTAACATCATTTTGTAAATACTCTACAATCTTACCACGAGCCACTACAAGCAATATTTCGCCAGCAACAGGGGGATGAAAACTACTAGTTTTAGTGGAAAATCTACTGAGTTGGTAACACCGGAACTTCATTGATTTGATTTGACGTTCCAGTGCCAGTGTTGCCAGTAGTGATTGGTGAACTAGATTTGCCTTGCTTTTCGCTCAGGAATTCGTTTAAGTAAAAATAATCTCAGAACTAGAAAGAAACAAAATACCGCCAACAACTTATACTAATCATTGTATTTGAATAACAGTTTTCCATTTACACTTATTTTGAAAATACATAATACATTGATGTGAAACATTTAACGTGGAGGGACAAACCAGCATGTAATAACAATAGTATTTTTTACATACTAATGTGGGATTGTATCGTAATGTAGATGAGAGCAGAGCTTTATGGTCGGTTTAGTCGGCCTAAATGGGTCCGATTTAGACTTAAAAAAATCTACTTCTTGGCTACGGAATGGTGAAGTTTGGGTTTGTGCGATTTTGGACGGGATCTGATGATAAATAACTATCGGAAATATATCCTGTAAGATAGTACAGTTGACATCTGTCGGGCATACCACCGACCTGGGGAATCCATCAGGCATTTTATTTCTGGTTGTTCTCGTCTTGCTAACGGCAAATATTTGCACAAGCATAACCAAGTAGCCAGGATTGTACACCAACAGCTTGCCCTTAAATAGCAACTTGTGAATTTAGAGGTGCCATACTATAGGTACCTATGCTCAACCCAGTTATCGAGAATGGGGGGGCTCTTTGTATTGGGATCGATCTATTAATGACATACAGGACTATTGTTGCGAGTAACCCTGATATTGTGGTGATAGATCGATTAGACTTCCTAATAACGAGAATCTCGTAAAAGTTGAAAGGGAAAAACAAATAAAATATTTGGATTTATTTCATGTGATTGTCGATATGTGGAATGTGAATTCGTTGATTATTGTTCCGGTAGTCGTATCTGCTCACGGATAGATAGTCAAGAGTCTCGACGAACACCTTAAGATGCTCACGTTAGACAGCTAGATCAAGGGTCTAATGCAGAAGGAAGTTCTCTTTGACCCGGCCCGTATAGTGAGGAGGTTCATGTCTTTGGGGTTTCTTGGTCCTTATACCCGAAGTCGATGGTCCACTATATTTTATATTTTTAAATGTATTTTTTTTATATATATTTAAAATGTAATTAATATGAGTATAAAAATGTAATAAAGAGAATAATAATATTTTGGACATCTGACACACCACGCCATCTAGTTTCAAACTATTGATTCAAAATTGATTGATGAACTTTAAAATAATTAGAATATTATATTTTTTATTGTGCTATATTTATAACTAGCTGAGACCCGCGGTGTTACCCGCTTGTTTGTTGTTATAACCGCGGTAAAAGCCGCGGGGAGAAACTAGTCTAAAAAAAGTAGCCTAAGTTACTCCTTATGTCATCAGCTATCTGTCAGTGAAAGTCCCGTCGAAATCGGCCCAGCCGTTCCAGAGATTACCCGGAACAAACAGACAGACAAGAATTGTAAAAAATGTTATTTTGGCATATGTACCGAGTAAACATACATATGCATTTAGTAAAAAGCGGTTATTTTAATATTACAAACAGACACTTCAATTTTATTTATTTATATAGATTTCCATCATCATATCATAGTCTGTCCTTTTACACTGATTCTTTCTAGAAATATTTTAGATATTTCATTTCTGCCAGACAGCTCGATTTTTGTAAGGTCACGGTTTGTACGGTTAATAATTTATATATTTTAAAATTATGTTCAAAGATAAAGTTGTGCAAGTGGTATTACTATTTATAAAATTTTAAAACATTATTGTCGCCACAAATGAAGACGACATGAGTCATGATTATAGAACTATACTAAAATATATGTATTACCATAAATACCAATAACTGGTGTACTAATCTGTACTAATACTGTAACTAATCTAAAATATTTCCTTAGAACTTTCAGGCACGTTGTTTAATCGTAGGTAAGTTATTTTATATTGAAACACCACATCTATAGCAAATGATATAGCTATCTAAACTTAGCAAATAGCAAATCTAAACTTGTTTCCACAAACAAACTAAATCACAAACGCTTTACCGTTGATAATAAGAAAATGAATAATGCAATTTAATATTTAGATTGTCAAGAAATATACTGGCAACATTACTGTACTAAACTAATAATAGTCTCACGCAAGGTTAAGTTCAGATTGGGGAGACCGGGATTGGACAAATAGGGATCGCAAACATTAAGCATTTAGGTACCTGCCCCATATAAATAGTGTGCTTTCCACACTGAAGAACTAGGTTAGAAGTTAAATTTTTCCAAAATTATGGAGTGAAGATTACGTTCATTACAATTCATTATGATGCACGGCACATTGAAGTTGTTTATATTTTGTTTATGTTTATTAATTAGTAATTAATAAACATAAACAATTAATAATTACCTACTATCGATCCGCCCCGACTTCGCACGGGTGCAATGTAGATAGACTAATATGATGTGAATGTAGAGTAATTAATTGTAGTATTATAATCATGAGACTATACCTCAGAACATCTTTATATGCAATATTTATAGGCCCGCTCCTGCCGGCCGCTGCCACCTGGGACGGCCGCTTTGCCCACGAACTCTAAATCTCTGATATCTACTAAGATATTTATTTTAATGATACGCATAAGGTATCCAACGTTTTTATTTGAAAAAGGAATAATAATGTATTGTTTAAAATTGCTTCGTATGTTACTCATTATTTTTGTAATAAGTAAAACATAAAAATAGTTATTGTGGTTTATCCTTAGGAGATATACCAAATACCATTGCGGACTTTTTTGTAGATCTTGTTAAGATATACAATTCCGGAATAGGTACATTATTGTGACATAAGTATCTCGTAAGGTTTAGCGAGCGTTTGAAGTCGTAAAAACATATTTTTAACATTTCAAATTTTGAAATTCTCAGGGTTCCTCTACTGTAATACGCCTATATTATATAAATAAACCCGCCTCTTGAATCACTCTCTCTATTGGTGCATTAAAATCCATCGCGTAGTTTAAAAGATCTAAACGTAGATGAAAAAAAGGGACTTTATTTTATATTATGTAAGGATTCAATGTCAGCTTAATCTTGCCTCGTAGGTGACTTCGAAACGACATCGCTGAAAATGTGCGAAATTCTAATAATCTGTCTTAAAACTGTGACTTAGCTACAGTGATTAGTTTTTTTGTGGCAGTGACTGCGCAGACTTGTCATTTAAAGAAGCTGAATTAGATTGAATATTTTGCACTGTACTACTGTTTTGCAATGTTACTTATTAGAGGATTTTGCTGATTATATGGAATTCTACGATTGGACAAAATTTAGCCACAATAAACTTTATACTCGCCCTCTGACACACACTCACTCATCCTTGCGCTTAACACTCCCAGAGGACATCCCTACATAACATCACAGTAGTTGTATCAGTTATGTTATGACCTTTTTTATTGATACTTGTAATGTTGTATCCAAATAACATGTACGCACGTGTGGTTGAAAAAAATGTGTGGAATTTTGATGTAATACATATATACCCCCGAAGCATAGAGGCGCCGTATGCTGAAGCACA